GGCCTTCATCATGAAGTGCTGAAGAGAGAGTGTCTTTTGGAGCGAAATTTTGATCATCTTCATTGTCACTCCCAACAACAGGTATGCCTGCAAGATCCCCAGAGTTGAGAAAATAATCTTCATCATCATCCAGCAGTGAGTTCTCAGACCCTGCTCGGTTCTGTATTCCATAAGATATGCTGTCGAGGGCTGGTGCTAAGTTGTGGTCAGTGTCTTCAGACATTTCTGCATCCAGAATTTCATTGCCTGGGGAAAAAAAAAAAAAAAGATCAGAAAATTCACCAGCTTTATGTGTAACAAAGGGCAAGTGTAAGTGTCCTTTGCTAATCTGTCTGATGCTGCAATTCCTTGAATACTCTAAGCCTTCATGGGCCAATGTTACTGACAAAACATTGCTGACATAAGCAGTTCTGTCCTACTCACTGCACAGTGAAGCAGAAACCAAACTGAGTAAAAATAACCAAAGAAAGAAAAAACACTAACAGTTTATCTCATCTGTAACACGTGTGAGGGAGGCAATGCAGGGAGGGGAGGAGTATCAAGGGCTATGAGAAGGGCAGGCCAGTGTTTTTCAGCACCAGTGATACTTCCAAGAAACATTCTGTGAAACTATGGACTTACATAAATAAATAGAAATACTTAAATACTTACATTTTTCTGTAATATCAAACACTGCATCAGATTTATCTTCAAACTGTAAAAAGGAAAGCACTGTATCATTATCTTGGTCAGCTGCCATGCACTTTGCTGAAAAGTATCTGATCAAACCCCAAACCAACAAGAAGGGTCATAATTGCTCCTCCTTCCTTTCTTGCCCCAAGCAAAGTTCTATGAATTAAGAGTGTTATAACACTGAGAAGTCATGTTTATCCCAACAAGTTCAGAGGTACAAGAAGAACCCCCCCAATGGAAATTTAGAATTAGCATTGCCTTGCAGGGAAGGTGGAGGAGAGAGAGAAGGAAAGGGAATGTCAGAACTGCCACTTCTACATGAGATACCTGCACCAGGTTAAGAACACAGATTCTGCCTTCTCTGATGCTCTAAGAGATTAAATTTCCTCTGAATGTTATAAATGGAAAAATAGCAGTGTATACAGCTCACACTGATGTGGGCTGCACAGATCCAAAGGTTCCTCTCTCTAAGAGGGTACACCCTTCTCCAGGAGCAGTGTAGTGCTTAACTTCCTAACCACGAGCAGCAGTACGAGTGCAACCAAAGCAGGAGCAGATGATCCTCTGAGTGCTGTACAAACCATCTGTTTACATTAAACATCCTCTGACAGACCTTAAAGTTGACAGTGTGCTTGAATGCTGTCTGAGGAACTATACACGGCATAATTAAAGTTTCCCTGAGACTGTCCAACTCATTAGCATCCTTCCTTTCTGCCTAAAAGCTAACAGCAATCCATTTACGTCACCTCTCCTTTCCCTGTGTCTCCAGCTCTGCACTTTATCTTGGGGTAGATCCCGCTCACACTTCAATTCTTAAGCCATCTTAAGGGAAGTAATGGGATTTGATAGCAAAGGGATGATCTCTAATTTCATTTAATTCAAGTCATTTAGTTGATAAATCCGATATTCCACAGGACTGTGAGGGGAACTATCAGTTTGGCAGCAGCCAGCTCCAGGGAAGGATGACAACATGTTGGCCCAGGGTCCACGTGACAGCAAAATGTCCATCAGTCTCTCTCCAATACCACTCACAGGTCTACAAAGACAAGTCAGCTCCTTCAGCTTAATTCAGCACACATGGAACAGTGAGGACCTGTCCAGCATTGTGAATATCAAGACAATTTAATACTCCTCCAAAACCTTCCAGCTTCTCTGAGCAGACAGTTGAGGTTGGAAAAGTGAAATGCAGAACCAAAAGATAAAATAAAGTTACACTACTCCAGAAGGCTGGTGCAAAGTCTGTTCGTTGTAATGATGTAGAGGAGAAAAGAGCAAGGGAACACCTCTCAGGACAGTGATGCTCAGCCTGTGGTCTGCAGACCCCTGGGAGGCTGCGATGTCATCTCAGGGGGTTCAGGAAGGCTTAAAGCAGGGGTGGGGAACATCCAGCCCCAAAACATTTGGTCTGGCCCATGACAAGCACTGCACCTCCTTTTCCCACAGCTCCCTCCCCTCAATGAATTTGAAATTGAAAAAAATTAAAATTGAAATAAGTATCTGATGCAGTCTAGTGCTCTGAATCTTGAATTAAGTCTTGTTGGTCCACAGCCACAAAAAGTATTTAAAGGGGGTCCATAGTGAAGGAAAGGTTGAGAACCTCTGTACCCAGGAAGGTCTGTGAGGCCTGAGTTCAGTTACTGCTATAACCACTCTGGAATTGTCTCCAGAGGTGTAAGTTTAATGTTGATCTAGAAGTCCACTTGTAGTCAATGAAATTCACACTGGTGTAAAATGAATCCCTGTAACTGTTGGATATCCTTAGTGCTAACTCCAGATGCTGAGGACAAGAACAGCAGTGGTGTCTTGTTTTTACAGACAAACAGAAAAAGAAATTTATTGTCATTTGATGATATCAGGGTATGAAGCCTTGGGAGGCAAACCCAATAGCCCAGGTCCTTTTCTCTACGCTGACCCTCCTTCATCTTCTCCTGCTTCCTGTCAGTAATGCTCTTTCTCCTCTAAAAAAGCCTCACACAATTTGCTGGGAAGGCATGATAAATATTCAGTTGAGATGAAGCATTGGATCATCCTTTTCCTGAAGTACATTTATCTAAAAGTAGTTCTTCAACTCTTTTGACACGCAGAGTGCCTGGGAAAGTATTCTAGGTTCTGCTACAATCCCAGATATCTTACACACCCAAACTCTAGGGATCCCTCCCCCTCTGCTGATAGCAAGTCTGTTAATAACAAGTGACTGTATCTGGTCTGGCTGAGCTGATTTCCCATGGCAGGCTCCTGGTGCAGAGCCTTTGTGTGGGGAGTTAGAAGGGTGTTGGTAACACCCATGTTGTGAGCACCACTGAGCAGTGCCTGCACAGCACCAAGGCTCTTTCTAACATCCCCCCACAGTGGGATGGGGGGGCAGGAGCTTGGGGGAACATAACTAGCACAAGAAGCCACCTGCAAGAGCCACTAGGGACTCCCACAAATATTTTGAACAAGTTGGAAAACATTTACAGTCTACCTGGAAGGAATCCAAGATGCTTCTCAACCACAAGGTCATCCTCAGGAAAAAAAAAACAACAAACCCAAACAAAACAACAAAACAAACCCACAACAAACCAACCACAACCTATTTTGTTTCTTTTCTCTTTCTTTTGCAAGGCTCTCAAAAGAAGAGATCATCTTGCATGTTTTCTTCCTTTAAAAGGTTTTAGGGTACAGAGGAAGATCTGTGTCTGTGGTCAAAAGTTTCCACTGGAAATATTTACAGAGCAGGAACTTCAGCATCTGGCAACACCAGCAGCCTGATCTGAGCCACTATCTAGTTCCTGGTGGTGAACAGCATCCCAACTCCCACGTGGTGTAAATCCAAGAGGAACCCAAGGGAAGTGCCTGTATGCTTCTGTGTGTGGATACAGAGGTATTTACACACACAAATACACCTCTCTACCTGTGCCAAATAAATTAGCATTCCAGAATGGTCAGTAACTGGACTGTGTTCTGAAATGAGGGCTCATTCACCTAGCACTGGGTATTCTCTCAGTCACATAAACTTCTCCTCCCTGAATTCTGTTACAATCTTGTTTAATGCCATCTCAGGAGGAAATTTTGCATATCAATACAAATGTATAATCTTAATCAATCATGTAAATTGTCTTTCACTGGATTATGGTCCCATATTACACTGAAATGTAAGTAATAATGCCCAACTTCCTATTCTCTAGTATTCTATTACATTTCTGCACGGCAATTCCCTCTCTCACTAGTCCTCATACATCCTCCTTTGATGAGTTGTCATCACTCCTAATTCCCTTTATTTCTTCTGCTCAGATTTTTAAATATTTGGTGATCAGTGGAACAAAAGTACTCCAGAGGCAAACGTGAAACTGCTTCATGGGATGTCCTATGAATCATTTTTGACAGATTCAGAAGAGGCACTTCAATACTCCAGAGTAAGTCCTATACAACTACAGAATGAAAAACTATCCAGAACAGGAAGTTTTCTGTTAAAATACTCCAGGCTTCAACTCTTCAACACAGCCCTCAAAACACACTTGCAGTTGTAAAAACAAAACTTAAGAATATCATATTTTAAAACATCTTCATTCAATCACTTTGGCTAATAAGAATAACTTGCTACTTAGTGCTTTTAAGCAGTGAGCATTCCCTAAGACTTTAAGACAGAACAGTTTAAGTTTGATATTAGCAAAATTAAATGTTTTAGCATCTATCTTTCTCAGGGACTCTGTCTCGTTAGCTAGTGCTGGACACAAAGCAATCCTCTGCC